CGACCTCAACGGTCTCGACTCTCGGTTTTCGACCTCAGTGGTCCCGACTCTCAGTTTTTGACCTCATTGGTCTCGACTCTCGGTTTTCGACCTCTTGCGGTCGCGATTCTCGGTTTTCGACCTTAGTGGTCCCGACTCTCGGTTTTCGACCTCCACGGTCTCGATTCTCGGTTTTCGACCTCAACGGTCTCGACTCTCAGTTTTCGACCTCCGTGGTCTTTTGGTTTTCGATCTTGAGATCTCAGAGCTCATTTGGAGGATATTTCAGTGGTTATTTAATGGTTATTCGACTTTCGATGCTCGATCTTAGTGGCAAGTTGAAGAAAGCAACTCGAAGAGGCATTTCACTCTTGGATCGAGTTATGCTTACTCGACCAGAGTGGGGAGACTAGATGATATAGGATATTATACTAGACCCGGTTTAATAGATAAAGCGGATACATATAGAAAGATAAGCCCACTAAGACGTCTAAGCCTAACAATATGGGCCAAGCTCATATTGAGCTTACAAAGGTACACTCCCCCTATAAAAGGGGGGCCAAGGTACCTCATTCTGATATCTTCTCCTCTCTATTCATTACATTACTACACTTTCTCTCTCCTGATCTGGGCACTGACTTAGGCATCGGAGGCCCGACGCCGGGGCCACCCCCGGCGTTGGGTTCTACAGGTACGGAGGCCGGTTCGAGTTGAAGGAGCCCAGGTGAATTATATTCACTTCAGGTTCACAATTAATACTAGTAGTGGGTTTACAACTCTTTGTAATTTGAGTTATTCATATTAACTCTTATTCTTGAATTAACTCTTTAATTCAAGAACCCACATATCATGGGAACATCTAGCAAGTAGCATGAATCTAGTATTAAGTGAATAGCGAGTAAACCTATTTCGATTACAAGTTCATACATGTAAAATCCTTTCGACATCCAATTTCCCGATTAAATCTTTGGGTATGATTTTGTCGAAACCCAAATTGATTTAATAACTATGATTCCATTTCAAGTTTAGTAATTCGTTTATGAATCTCTATTCATCCCGCCTTGGCCAAGGACTTTGAATTACTAACTATGAAACACATAGGAAATTCACTTATCTTCATAAGTATCGAATCCTTTGTTGGCCACTGACAAACTTCCATACATATTAATATAATACCAAAAATATCCCTTTATACGATTGTGCTAGCAACTGGTGATGGGACACAAAAAGATCCGAGGAAAACATCCCGTCGGCAAAATCTACTCGTAAGCTCAGAGTCGCTTCGAGTAATTTTGGGGGGGACTAGATGATATAGCCATACTATCGTGCAACGGTTCAGTAACCGTGACATTGCCACAATCGGCTCATAACGGTTCATATCATCACGGTTCGAAACTGCCAAGTCGATTACAACACCGTCGACTCCGCCAGTAGGGTCCCACGATATTCAATCAAGAAGCCCGGTTCTCGACGGAGTCGACGTACGGCTGTCGACTAGAACGAGTCTGACTTCTGCAAGACAGCGATCAGACGTATTAGGGTCCATTAACGGTGGGACGCGATCCAGCCGACTCGACTCAATACCTCAAGTTGACTGGAGGAGTCTTGCAGTTCGCGGTTCCCGATAGCTTTGACACACCTCAGCATG